GGGGGGGGGGGGGGGGGGGGGGTTAGTTTATTTACACAAAAATCAGGTATTATTAATTCCCCCTATTCAATTAAAAATCATATTCATTTTACCCAAGTTTGAAACCTGATTCCTGTCCCTTTCTTCTCTCTTCTCGATGACGCATTTAACCATTGCAAAGGCGATGAAGAAAATGCGTCTTTACAATGGTTAAATGCATCGATGCTGACGTGGGCACGTAGAGGTGAAACTGTTGATTTTCGATCTGCTGCTTTGGGCCGTATTTGAATGGGTCACCATTCACAGCAGCATGGCGATCTGCTGTTCACAGTCGTCGTTGACTCCCTTTTTATTTTTCAATCTGTTGTTCTCTCTCTATACCCTCTTCCTATCGCCATCATCATTGAGAAGCGCCCATCGCTTGCTATGAATGGCGACTCTTAGTTTTGCAGCTAGTTTGTGGTGGCGACTATGGTAGTTGTTGAATTTCGTGGTGGTGGTGCGATCTTTCGATATGTTTTATTGCGTTTTTTAGGTGGTGACGGCGGTTTGTGGATTTTTTTGTGGGGGTGATGTAAATGGAAATAAAGGAAGTAGTGGTGCTGGTGTGCTGTGGGTGGTGCGTTGTACAGTGGTGGTGTGGTGACGTTAGAGCATCGTGGTGCTCATGATGGTGATTGCAGGAAGCAGTGATACTTATGTTGGTGAGGTGATGGTGGATTCGAAGGCGGTGGTGCCCAACTATTGTTGTGTTTTTGTTGGTGGTGGTTGAGGTAGTGATGACGGTGACGGGTGGGGTGTCTGCGACCAACTATTTATGCATTTGTGATCAACTATTTAGGCATTTATGACCAACTATTTGACTGATTTGTGACTAAATATTAGGTGCCTCTAACTAAAAAGTAATTTGTGACCAATAAACTGCGACTCATGTGACCCATAGAAAATGTTATCTATAATTTGAATGATCTTTGACCTCGAAATAATGTGACTTACAAAATTTTTTATTTTTGATCACGAAATAATTTGTGACTAATTAATTTGATAATATATGACCAATAAATGAATACGTGACCATTAATCATGTAACTGTAACTTTATTATCTTTATTTAATAAATATTTTTAATTAATTAAATACATACCTGATTTTTTAATTTTCAAACTATTTATCTGATTTTTGAATTGCGGTAAACAAAACACATGAAATGTGATTTTTTCCCTAAGAAAAAAATGTTAAAAGCCCAATAATCAGGCAAACACTAAAGATCAGCCTAGTTATTTAAAAAAAAAAAAAAGGGGAAAAAAGGAGTAATTTTCACATGTACCCAAGTATAAAAGGATAATCCCAAAAATACCAACACAATTATTTTATTCCTAAAATACTACATTCTATGATATAAAATTACAAAACTACAAAATGACATAATTAACCTCAAATTAGGTAATTGATTGCAATAAGATGCATACATTAAATAGCTCCTAAAATATAGGAATTTATTATAAAAACAATTGGACTGAGAATAATTTATCAAAATATCAGTGTGCCAAGAGTCATAATAATTATAGAATTCAATTTTTATTTTTATTTTTAAAATCAACTCGTGATACTCGCTTGATATGTCATCATTGTATTTGTATTTTGAGGTATTATTTCAAAATTCTTTTTGATTATTTTGTTCATCCATTTCATGACACTAACTAATGAAAACTCATGATTGTTTTGATTGTAAATTCAAACAAAAATAATTTGTGACAAAACATGATTGATAGAAATCATTTAATGAAAAATGGTTAGGTAGATTAAACAACAATTCAGCACTAGTAAAATATAACATGCGTAATGGGATGATATAAAATAAAATTATGGTCATATGTTAGTTTTGATTTTGGCACATTATGCAATGTAGTGTAAGATGTTGATTTCCATAATATAACTTGTAATGTCTAATCATTTTAAAATATATATTAATGCTGTTGTTATGTGTACGATATAGTTCTTATTTTTCTATCACATTATGCATCTCTATATCAATTATGGCATGTCTAAAAGAGTAGTATCATATAATTTTTTAAAGATGGGATGTCGTGAATCATGCTATGTTCTTATGAGGTTCTCCAACAATTATAGGATGTATATATAACATTTTGTTACACAAGTCACTCGTATTTTGTTACAATGTTATGCTACATGTGGTGATACCGTGGTTTTTGTCACATTTATTGAAATTGTATTGTGTACTGAAAAGTGTTACGTTTGGTACATTAATATCTAACGTAGACTACGTTATTGTCATGTCATATAGATACGGAATTAAGAAATGCTTTTATTATTTGCGGAGGATGATGCACCATGCCAATAACATGTCCATACGCTCATCTCATCAATATAATAACGTCAGAGTTAAAATAGTAAAACTTGCTCGATAGATGACAATCATATCTAAAGCAGCATTAGTAGAAGATCTTTTTAAGTGGGTTTATAATAGGCACTTGTATGGTGAATAATTAGCCAAAATTATCAAGAGATTGGCAGTAAAGATGACAGGTCATCGATCATTATTGAAGCAAAGAAATCTAACAATTAAAATGAACTGTTTGATTGAATGCAATTCTAAACTTGTACTTATTGCTATCCATCCAGTAAAAAAATTGAAGTGGGACAGATTGATGTTATTAATAACACTACTAGACCAATTTTTGGCCTATAGTCCCACAAGATTTCTAGCATTTTGCTCATTGTCAGCCAAAAAATCACTAATACCAATATTCTTGATCTGGGAAGGTTTCACCTATTAGGAAGGAAGCGTTCATTCAATTTTATGAATGATAAACTTTTTCCAGTAAATAACTTCTTTTATTTATTTTCAAAAATTACTAAGAGGTAGATTTCATTTTCTCTCACTACTAATCATTTTTGTAATTATCCATTATTGAGCTAATTAACAATTTTGGTACAGCAAATATATAGTTTAAGATTGCAAAATTCTAACTGTGGCGAAAACTATCATGTTCTATCTAATACTACATACCAATTATGTCCCAAAATAATAGACCTGTTTGTATTTCACCAATTCGCTTTGAATAGAAGTTTTTGCCAATTGGAGCAACGACTCAACGTCCTCCTTTAATTTGAATTGTTACATGATTTCTAGCACAGCATGATATAAAACACGAGGATAAAGCTAAATCTTCTAGTGCAAAGAAAATATAAGCGATAACTTACTTCAAAATAATGGCTTTAAGAGCTGCATTACGCCTTTGATAAAGCTGGACTGATTGTCTAAATTCCGGCTTCCAAGTGCTTGCTCATGCATGGAAAGAAATATTGTGATAAAGTTGTTCAAAATCAACAACAATAATATGAAAAATAAATAAATAAATAAATAAATTGGTCCATGCAACTGCATGGCCTTATGCCGAGACCAAATGGTCTCGGCATGGGCAAACCATGCGACCGCATGGGTTTGTACCATGCGGTCGCATGGTATTTCTCCCGTTGTAAATTCAAATTTGGTGACTTTTGGCTTAAAGTTTGGTACCATATCGTGAATGTGGTGTATGCCTATATATATTGGATCCATGTTGAAGGCAAACAAAAACATCAAGGTTCCATATCACTTCCAAAATCAAATATCAAAGTCTTTAAAAGTCATATTCATATTCATCCTTTGTGTTCTTCAAGTTCTCTAGGATTTGCATTTGTGCTTTGGTGTTTAAATCCTTGCAAAGCTTGTTATAATACTACAAACCATTTGCTAACAACCTTCTAAGCATCTCAAATTTATAGGAGAATGGGCAAATATCGTTTGAGGATAACGATATCGTGTTCAAGCCATTCATTAATACAAGATTCGTGATTATCTTGTTATTGGCGTTTCTGATTTATATTTTGTGATCTCTACTCCAATCCGGTGAATTTTTTCCAACAATCTCAAACGATCTCTTTGCAATGGAAAGCGAGACAACATTGGCGACAATCAAACTCATGAATCAAGACTTGGTGCGGTTAGATCGGTTCGATGGAATGAACTACACTCGATGGAAAGACAAATTGAAGTTTCTTCTCACTATACTAAAGATCTTCTACATCATAGATCCGGAATTGGCGCAACAACCGGAACCAACAAATAGAGAAACCGAAGCAGTGAGGAATGAAAGAAAAAAGCGCCAAGAAGATGAGTTAATATGCCACAGTCACATTTTCAACGCATTATCGGATCGTTTGTATGAATTATATACAAACACAACTTTAGCAAAGGAAATTTGGGATGCGCTCGAAAATAAGTACAAAGTGGAAGAAGAAGGTACAAAGAAATTTTTAATTTCTGAGTACTTCGATTTTAAATTTTTAGAGAATATTCCCCTTCTTCCCCAAATACATGAAATGCAAGTAATTGTCCATAAGTTGAAGGCGGTGAAAATTGAAATACCGAAGACCTTTCTAGTGGGGGCTATAATTGCCAAACTTCCCGGAATTTGAAAAGGATACCGAAAGAAGATAATGCATAGTTCCAAAGATTATTCTTTGGAACAACTGCAAAAATATCTTCGGATTGAGGAAGAGTCGAGAGTATGTGATAAATGTGATTCTCATGAGGGCACTTCCAAAGTAAATGCTGTAGAAAATTTCGAACCGTCAACAAAATCCAACAAAAGGAAGCTTTCAAGGAACCTTAATAAGTTCAAGAAGAAGACCAAAGGAGGATGCTTTGTTTGTGGGAAATCTGGACACTAGGCAAAAGATTGTAGACTCCGAAAATACAACAACTTTGAGGGTAAAGTGAATTCCATCCAACAAGACAAAATTGTGGCCATCGTGAGCGAAATAAATGCAATTAAGGGAAAAGGTTCCCGGTTGGTGGTATGATACTTGTGCCATGGTGCATGTATCATATGACAAATATTTGTTCAAAATATACAATGAAGTGAATGGAGACCAAGAGATCTAAATGGGTAATGAGG